TACCTGTCTATGTCTCTGTCCCTTTAACAACCCCCCTTTCAGAGACATAGACAGGTATGGGGCATTGCAGGCTAAAAAAAGGGGTGGACCGGTTCGACCTTTTTAATTTGCATGTTTTCTAAACAAAAACAAGGCTTTGTTGGGCTACCCTATAAAGCCTCAAACTCAACGCTATTCCTGACATTTTGAATTGAAAAAGCTTCCTGGATGAGAAGCGAAACGTCTTCAAACTTGGAAACAAAGTCTAGTGGAATGTTTTTAACTTTTTTGGAATGACTGTGACTCTTCACTAGCTCTGCACTGCTCGAAACGCACTGCAGGACCTTTTGATCCACCTTCATGCACATTGACCGTACACTTTGGGCCGGATCTATCAAAGGTTTGCGTGTATAAAAACGTGAGCTATTTCACTGCACACGCTAAAAAATGTACAAACTGATCTATCAACAGCGTGCTAAAAGGATTTGGTCTTTAAAACGTGCTAAATAGCGCCTCTCATCCATTTAGTACTTTTTCTGCAATTAATATGCAATATGGGGCGTTTACACGCAAAAGTGCGTCTTGTGGGAGGAGAACATGTAAATATATTAATTTAGCACTCGCAAAGTGATTTATCAAACCTGAAAGCAATTTTGCTAACGGTATCTGACTCTATATTTAACACGTTTCAAAAGAAGGTGCAAATGGTCTGTATGCGTAATTGCGCACACATGGCAGCGGTTATTGCCGCAAGAAAGAGACATGGAAATGAAGGAAGGAGACGCAGAGAACGCAGTTTTTCACTCCGTGTGAATATTTTTGGAATGAACAAGGAAACGATCAAAACATTTTGTTTATCCAGCATTGCCATTTTGAAGCTGCAATAGGCTCTATGCAAAGCTCCACTACTTCCTGAATTTAAGGCAGCTCCTTTGTTTCTTGTCTTTCATGATTGGATGCACTGATTAATCCAGGTGTGTATGACCTAAGTAACTGGCCAGACACACCTGGATTAATCAGTTCGTCCAGTAATGAAAGACAGGAAACAAAGGAGCTGCCTTAAATTCAGGAAGTAGTGGAGCTGTGCATAGAGCCCATTCCAGTGATTTGCTCCTCACAGAGCGTCAGCTGTACTTGTTCCTCAGTGCTGGTCAGAGGCATCTTATCTACTGTGCCCCCTCCTGTTTTGTTCGCAGATGTTTTGTTATATGCCAGTTTTTCTTTGGTTCGCCTTCTAATATCCTGGTATCTTCTTTTTACTTCATCCACTGTTCGCAAGGTTTCACCAACAGTGTTTACTTTATTACAGATTTGTTCACATATAGCGTTCCTCTGTGTGACAGTCACACTTCTTTGCTGTAGCTCACTTAAATGTTTGTTGGCTTCATCCACCAATACCTCCATTTCCATGGGGTCGAATTTCCTTTTGCGCTTTCTGCTGTCCAAACTCGCCATGCCGCAAACCACCAAACGCACAAAACCATCATTTAAATAGGGTGTCTGCAACAGTTTTGCGCCTGCCACCAGTTATGCAATCGCTCTTGTTAAATCACCCGCAAACCATGGTTCAGCCCCTCGCGCAAAATTCCAGTTTGCGAGCGCAAATTACTGCACACAAAATTGGATCTTGATAAATCCGGCCCTTTGTATGCAAACCAGCTGCTCCTGCTGCTCACAGCACTTTTGGTGTGAACACAGTATAAGGCATTTACAAATGAATACCTCACATCCGGTCTAAAGTCCAAGAACCCTGTTATATTGGATGCTCCAGCTTTGAAACTAACTATACTCACTTCTTTTTAGTGCCTTATTAGTGAGATAGTGAAACAGAAACTATGCACCACAGAGGATCTTACCGGATATCAGATGTTTGTTATTTACACATACCTTTTGTAAGTGAGCTTATGTGCACTCACAGGAACAAGGTGTTCAAATGTTCCACTATGGCTCAGTTTCCATAAAGAAGCTACAAGAATCCAAACAATTCAACATCTTCTTACAAGCCAAAGCTCAACTGAAATGCTGCTGCTGGTGTCAGCAGTAAACGGCTACCGCTAGTTAGAGAAAGAAGGACAGCAATGAAGAAAAGCCTGTAGGTGTATGAAACCGCTACGTCCAGAGAGCAGACTGATAAATATGAGCTTATGAAATGAAAGAGTTCTGTCTGCCTAGCGACCACAATTGCAAACTTTGATCATATGACACTTTGGCAAATACGGACACAAAGTATTGGTTTTTCCTTTATTTTGTGTCCTATTATTTCTGGCTTGCGGCTGGATGGACTGGTTTAGTCACCACTGCACATTGCGGTCAGAGTTTAACTAAACTTTAAGCGTGTTGGTTCACAAGCACAAGGTGGTGTGCTGTGCTCAAAATGCCCTTAAGCAGAGTAAGCCCTTGAAAATAATAGGTTTAAGAACACAGCGGACGCACCACTTCTGGTTATAGATGGTGCAGAATAAAGGCAGAATTTGACCTTAAACGATGTATAAACACATATAAGATTTTCATAAACCCCTGACTATAAGCTCTGCGTACAGCAAGGCTGAGAACTCAACTTTATTACTGAATAATTAATAAGGATATTAGTAACAAAATAGAGTAGTAACTCCTGTACGCCAGGCAGTTTATACAAACAGGTTTTCAATCTCTGAAGAAAATAGGCTGCATAGTTTTAGAGACACCCTGTGTGCAATGGCACGGTCTCACTTTTCATAGTTCAAATACCAAGATATCTAATGTCATTGATCTGAAGGCAAAGCTAGTAGACGGAAATACAAGAGGAGAAGAAGAGAAGGAGAATACTTGGTTGACAGAAATCAATCATTTCAATCATTAATTGAGAAATTTCAATGTTTTGCAGACATATGTTTATTTTGTGATTTTTTTTCCTGCTTATACAACAATATAGGTAAAAAAGCTTCTTCAAAAAAATTTCCTGAAGATTGTAAAATGTACTTCTCAATACGCTGGTTTAGAAATAAAGTATTTCCAATAAGTGAGCAGGCGAAGGGGCAAAGTAAATGTCAAGCTTGGGGATCTATTTCACAAAGTCAGCTGCAAGACCTAGGACATTAATCTCCAATTACAGCCATAATATTTGGGGGAAATATAGTCATTTAAAGTGTGCAAAGTCTTAAAATCTGTAAGCCTTTAGACAAAAAGTAACTGTCCTGCAAATTGATCATCGAGAAGTCATACAGTAGTAGCCAGACTGGAAAAAAAAAAAAAATAATCTAGATAAGTGCATTTGTTCTTGGATTGAGGAGGTAAAAGAGACATTTTGCCAATGGAACATGAAAATTTACATTTTAAATAAGAAAACACAATGGCATTGTCTTATTTCAAGTGTAATTGTCAAATTTTAGGAGTAAAAATATTCATTCCGTTGGCAAACTCATTTACCTACTCAACTTAAGGGTAAATACACTTAATCTAAGAATTTTTAACTTCTTTCTTGAACGCTTTTCCAGTGAAATCAAAACTTCCCCACTGTACTTGATGCACAGGAAAAGCAATTTAGAGATAAGTAAAAATTTCTTAGTAAAAAATTTTCTGAAATAAGATAACTAGTCAACATGCACTTGAATTAAGACAATGCGATTTACCTCCTCAATCCAAGAACAAATGCACTTATTTTAAGAAAAAATGACTTATCTAGATTTTGATTTTTCCAGTGTGGGTCCTTGGCTGGTCCCCTACAATTTCTTTTTAAACATCAATTTTTGTACTTAAATATTCTGTCATGATTTCTGGACGTTAAGATCTAAAGAGAAGCGTCATCTCCTGGTCAGACCCTGTAATTCAGTGAAAGGTTGGAGTCAGAGTAAAGAAAAGAAAAATGCAAGAGGAGGTCAGTCCAGTGGCTGGAAGTTGGAGGAAGGTGGGCTGCCATTCGGCTGGTGTTTGACTGGGAACGACCATTTCGAATGGCAGATATAGAGACTTTCACCTGTATCTGGATTAGCATAAACATACTTATCAAATAACTTGGTATATTGACGAAAAAGAAATTATTGTACTAACTTCATTCTCTGAATGAGTCTAATATAGATTAGGTACACATAGACTACCGACAGAGACGGGAAGTAACGAAGTACAAATACTTCGTTACTGTACTCAAGTAGATTTTTCTGATATTTTTACTTTACTTTACTACTTATTTTTATGGCGACTTTTTACTTCTACTCCTTACATTTTTACACAAATATCTGCACTTTCTACTCCTTACATTTTAAAAAATTGGCTCGTTACTTTAGTTTTGAATCATTTCAATGGAGTTACCGTTATTATTTTTCACGTCATCAATACCAAATTCAATCTAGTTGGATGGGAATCTACGTTGCATTTGACGCACCACTACAAGATGAATCGACAGATTCGGCGGTATTCATTGGCGGCAAATCATTGCAGCTTGGTGGCGGTGGTGTTAGCATAGTAGCATGGACGACGAGATGATTGAAAATGAACACAACGGAGATCTAGTCCTATTGGCAGACATCCATTTAAAATGTAGGCAACGGCATGAAAAAAGTGGTTTCTACTTTTACTTTTATACTTTAAGTAAATTTATAAGCCTGTACTTTGTTACTTTTACTTGAGTAAAGAAGTTTAATCAGTACTTCCACTTTTACCAGAGTATTTTTTAACACAAGTATCTGTACTTTTACTCAAGTATGGAAAGTGAGTACTTTTGTCATCTCTGACTACCGATGTCATTATACTTTCTGATTTTCTGCACGGGGAACGGTCGCAGAAAGTTCTTTGGCTTGAGACAGAGGATCTTTCTGTACCTATGCAAAACTTTATCAAACTTCATTTATTTCTGTATAAAACAACTAGAGACTGTTCACTTTGGGATGTAATCATGTCTACATCCACTTCTTTTGTTGTACTCATTAATAAAACTACAATTGAATCCAATATTCTTTAAATTAAAATCTTGAAAGTATTTCAAATGTAATTTTTTTTGGGTAAAGCAACCAAAGCAGTTGAAAGTCATAATTCACTTTACTCTGCAGATTAAGATCGCCTCCATGAACGACATTAAGAGCCGCTGGCAGCAGTGGTCTAACCAGCACATCCAAGGCCAGAAACTCAACCCCTTCAGCGAAGAGTTTGACTATGATTTTGCAATGTCCCAGCGGCTCCGCAAAGGAGATTCTGGCTACGGTCGACCCAAAGACGGCTCCAAGACAGCAGAGAGAGGGGACAGGGCTCACAAACACATCCACAGGGAGATGGAGGAGATGGTCTGGATTATCAAGGACATGGGCCTCAAAGACAAGGAGGGTCGGACTTTTATCACCTTTGGGCGGCTCTTCGACCGCTATGTGAAGATTTCAGACAAAGTGGTGGGTATCCTTCTGCGCTGCCGGAAACACAAGATGCTGGACTTTGAGGGGGAAATGCTGTGGAAAGGAAAGGATGACGATGTAATTATCACACTCAGGGACTAAAGACAGGAAGCCAAAGCTTCAGCTTTGCTATTGGTTACATCATGAACCCAAAAGGAATGAATGAAGGTAGAAAAAAAACATGAAAGTGCAACAAAACAGTTCTAACAGTAAATAGCTGGACTAGAGATGAAAGAAATGTAAGTGGCTGGAAGCTCCTTTCATTTATTCACATGCAGTCTAACTGATCTATATTGTTCTATATTGTAGAAGGAATGTTAAGAAATCGTATATCTGTTAATGTTTTAGTACACTGTGCCCAAAAAAAAAAAAAAAGAGCAGACTTTAGCAGCCAGCTAGAGCAGAGATATCAGTAGATACAATGTTAATACTGTGATTAAAAGGTATAACTGATTAAGCTCTGAAATGTTTTAGTTTTACATTTATGGTATAATTTAGCTGAATGTACAGAAATAAAAAAATACAACTACATTTGAAGTAAGAAGTTCCTCTAAAGTCAGAAATTGTTCTTTGTATGCAAATGATATTTCTTAGAGAAACATTCAATATTTTGAAAACACCTTCAGGGTAAAGGATTGCAGTGGTTTTAACAGGCTTCCATTGAACATTATATTCATGTATTACTTTAAAAGTTTTGGTCTTTCCTTGTGACAAAAGGCACAGTGTGAACTTAGCAGAGCTTTCTGAAAAAAGCGTCCATGCATGCATCATAACTGCAACATAAATATTTAACAATCCTGATGTGAAATGGTTGTTTTCTAGAAATATTTACTAGATTTTTAGATCTAGTTCATCTTTTCTCAGAATGATTTGAAATAGAGGTAAAGAAAAACAGAACTGCTTAAATGTGTGAACAATTTTCTTCTTTCAAAGTGAAAGCCTGAAAATCTTCTTACAGAAGGAAAATGTTTATAAAAATGTCTTAATTGTTGTGACAGGTAGAAGTCGCATTTTTAGATGTCTTTGCTTAGATCAGAGTGATAACGTAGGTGATGTGATAATAAACACTTTCTGGAAATGATTGGCCTCACATTTATTTTTGGGTTGTCTTTTCTTATTCAAGTATTTGCTGCTATTTTTTTTTTTGTTTAATAATGAGACAAGAAGAAATGTTTGTTTCACATTATCAATGTTAGGGAGATGATGTTATATTATTTGTAAATCAATCTGGAAGACTCTTATCAGCGTCACCTGAATTACTTGCAATGTCCCTTGTTGAGCACCAGCCAATTAACTCGGGGGGCCGCACCTTCTCCGAAGCCAATCATCTTTCTAGATCCCCTTCATTTAGCCCAGCTTCACTCTCCCGCACGCAAGTGAACTTTCCCCCACCCCCAGCACATCTCCTCCCACTTTCTCAGGCTATTCTCAGTCCCACTCAGCCTCTGACTTATTCCCCCACCAGTATCCGGGGGCTGGGGGAAGACTACTCTTATCCATCACACCTAATGTTGACTCACGGCATCAAAGTCTTCTGCCGATGCCTGAGCGCCACAGAACGTACACTCACCGGCCACTGTATTAGGTACACCTGTCCAACTGCTCGTTAACACTTAATTTCTAAGCAGCCAATCACATGGCGGCAACTCAGTGCATTTAGGCATGTAGACATGGTCAAGACAATCTCCTGCAGTTCAAACCGAGCATCAGTATGGGGAAGAAAGGTGATTTGAGTGACTTTGAACGTGGCATGATTGTTGGTGCCAGAAGGGCTGGTCTGAGTATTTCAGAAACTGCTGATCTACTGGGATTTTCACGCACAACCATCTCTAGGGTTTACAGAGAATGGTCCGAAAAAGAAAAAACATCCAGTGAGCGGCAGTTCTGTGGGCGGAAATGCCTTGTTGATGCCAGAGGTCAGAGGAGAACGGCCAGACTGGTTCGAGCTGATAGAAGGGCAACAGTGACTCAAATAACCACCCGTTACAACCAAGGTGGGCAGAAGAGCATCTCTGAACGCACAGTATGTCGAACTTTGAGGCAGATGGGCTACAGCAGCAGAAGACCACACCGGGTGCCACTCCTTTCAGCTAAGAACAGGAAACTGAGGCTACATTTTGCACAAGCTCATCGAAATTGGACAATAGAAGATTGGAAAAACGTTGCCTGGTCTGAGGAGTCTCGATTTCTGCTGCGACATTCGGATGGTAGGGTCAGAATTTGGTGTCTACAACATGAAAGCATGGATCCATCCTGCCTTGTATCAATGGTTCAGGCTGGTGGTGGTGGTGTCATGGTGTGGGGAAAATTTTCTTGGCACTCTTTGGGCCCCTTGGTACCAATTGAGCATTGTTGCAACTATGTCCATCCCTTTATGACCACAATGTACCCAACTTCTGATGGCTACTTTCAGCAGGATAATGTGCCATGTCATAAAGCTGGAATCATCTCAGACTGGTTTCTTGAACATGACAATGAGTTCACTGTACTCAAATGGCCTCCACAGTCACCAGATCTCAATCCAATAGAGCATCTTTGGGATGTGGTGGAACGGGAGATTCGCATCATGGATGTGCAGCCGACAAATCTGCGGCAACTGTGTGATGCCATCATGTCAATATGGACCAAACTCCCTGAGGAATGCTTCCAGCACCTTGTTGAATCTATGCCACCAAGAGTTGAGGCAGTTCTGAAGGCCAAAGGGGGTCCAACCCGTTACTAGCATGGGGTACCTAATAAAGTGGCCGGTGAGTGTATTTTAATAAGTCGGCCCCAGCAGATGGCTGATCATACTGAGGCTGGTTCTGGTTCTGTTGGAGGTTTCTTCCTGTTCAAAGGGAAAAATCTCAAACTGTCGCTAAAAGCATGCTCACTGTGAGGGATGGCTTTGGAGTCAACGAGTCCTCGCCATGGTTATGCTTAAATAAAAATGTTTGGAAGAATCTGACTGTGTTACCTACATAAATAAATCGAATAAAACTTTTCTAATTGCTGCGTTTCTCTGTGTGAGTCTCGCTAGGTTTAAATAAGTTGGTATATGTTGTTAAATATGGAAGTTAGGTCCCCCTGATAGCGGCTGCGCCTCGGAACTACCGGTTCTTTTCCTGGGAGCAAGTTATTTACTACTCTTAAGTCAAACTGGGTAAAACCATATAAAAAAGGACTATAAAACAGGAGTAAAAAAGTAACAGCATTTTTTCCAGGCCAGGTCGTTACAGGACAGAGAAATTGCTTGGAGTTCGCACAGCTGTGGGCTCAAAAAACGTCGGCGAGCGTCCGGCAAAGATTGAGCCCCGAACAAGGTCATCTCCTCCTTTTTATACCTCATGAGTTCATGTTTTGCATCAGGTGGATGCTTAGCTGTACAGCCACGTGAAGCACTGCAGATACAGCAGAAGAAAACTGTCATCGGTACTGAAAATAAAAATATATCAGTGCCATATACACACAGCTTAGCTATTGCACTAATAACCTAGATACCCAAATGTGGTCTATTTGTGTGGAGAAGAATATTGTAGATATTAAAAAAATGTCTAAATGCTGTCAAGGAACAGATCAATGAGCCCCGATGTTAGCAGCAAACTGCATCCTCCGTGACATCAAGCATTTTGTTGGTAACTCTTCGTTATTTATGAAATTATTTCTGGTTACAGATTCCTATAAAATATCAACAATATAGCTTTAAATACAATGCAGACCCTAAAAAAAAATCTACAAAATGTACATAAAACATCATAACTTGCCAATATTTTTTGGTTCATATTATTTATTTACAAAGTTACTGTCTTTGGTCCAGAGTATTTGAAAAAATAACTTCATCTGGATGGGATTAAAATGATCTCAGATAATAGAGTAAAAATCTTGGTGTTATTTTTGATCAGGACCTGTCATTTAAATAACATATCAAAGAGGTTTGCAGAATTTCCTTCATTTATCTGCAGAATATTGCAAAAACTAGAAATCTCCTGTCCAGGGGTGATGCTGAGAAACTAGTCCATGCATTTGTTACTTCAAGGCTGGACTATTGTAATTCTTTACTATCAGGAAGTCCACAAACTGTAGTTAAAAGCCTTCAGCTGATCTAAAATGCTGCAGCCAGAGTTCTGATGAAAATTAAAAACAGAGCTCATATCTCTCCTATAAGCTTCTCTTTAGTGGCTTCCTGATAAATCTAGAATAGAATTTACCCACCCAGCAAAAATTGGATGAAATGACATTGAAAAGACATGATTTATGTCCCAATGACATCTACATTTGGTTGAAAGGTGAGAAGCCGTAAATGTCAGATCGTTGAAAAGACGTTGAAAACCCAATTTATTATTGGGCTAAAGTGATCAGGTCAAACAAACACAGCCCAATTTTTAAAAACTATTTATGGACTAAATCAAGAGTATGATGAACTGACCCGATTTAGCCTAAAAACTAACGTCTAAATGATGTTTTGTGTTTGGGTGTAAAATCGTCCTTCTCATATGTAAATCCCTAAATAACCAAGCTCCATCTGATATCAGAGATCTGATTGTTCCTTATGTTCCTAACAGAGCACTTCGCTCTCAATCTGCAGGTTTACTAGTGGTTCCTAGAATTTCTAAAAGTAGAATGGGAGGCAGATCTTTTAGTTATCAGGCTCCTCTCCTGTGGAAGCAACTACCAGTTTTAGTCCGTGAGGCAGACACCCTGTCTACTTTTAAGGTTATGCTTAACACTTTCCTGTATGATAAAGCTTATAGTGTCATGAACGGGACGGATGGACCCAGTATTCAAAGCGAGACAGTCAGTAGGATTGTTCAAAACTGTTATTAACATAAAACAGAACAGAAGCGTGGAGCTGTGGATCTGTGAAACGCAGCGGCTGCAGGGGGGATGTGGGGCACCACCCATTCACTGACAATCTGAAGGGAAAAACATAGGTAAGTGATTTGACGGGAGATGATTATCCGTGTGAGTCACTTACCTCGTATAACAGAACAGTCCATCCACTCAGAGGGAGGCAGGATCCAGCCAAAGAACGGCCAAATGATTTGCAGCATAGAGCCTCCCAGAGGGTCCCCGATGTGGCAAGCTAAGTGAGCAGGTAGGAATCCGATCCAGGTCAAGGATTCAGATCATGCAGGAACAGGTCTGGAATCCAGGAGTCCGAAGCCCGGTCAGGGGTTCCGATCCACACAGGTGCAGAATGATCCAGGGTTCCAGGAATCCACAGAGAGTGAAGAC